CACACACACACACACACACACACACACACACACACTCTCACACACACACCATTAAAACATACTTTAATCTCAGAAACTCAGGATTCTAAGGAAAAATGTCAAAGTTCTAAGAAAAAAACAAAACAAACCCTCCACCATTTAAACAATTTCAATTGCACATAAATGTCACCTTAGGTCCTATGTATCCTGGTTGGCCAATAAAACCTGGGTCACCTCTCATTCCCTGTGAAATGAAAACAATATTTTATTCTGTTTCAATTTATTGTAATAAAAATGTTTCTGTTTTTATTTTGACATAAGTACACTCTATCATGGTTTGATCCAAAATAAAGAAATAAAAAAAAAATAGTAAATAAAAATAAATAAAAGGATTTCACTGTTTTTTCTAGGGTAATATGGCATACAACATATTTACGCTTAATTTAGAATAGGTTTCAGGCTAAATACGATTGCAACATGAGTTAATGTGCAGCAAAGGTTGGCAATTATGTACAAAAGTGTAAAGCTTTTAATATTTTGTGTTTGTTTATTTCTTACTTGTGCTGCTGGAATACCAGGAGGTCCGGTAAAACCTGGAAAACCCTGTTTGATGGAATGCAAAACAACAAACGTCCCAGAAGAATTAAAAAATAAAGTSGGAGATAATTCTTAGTGTAGACAAGAATGGGAAGCAATATTTCAGTCATGCCTGAGCTACTGTACACTAGAAAGCAAGGGTAAAGAGTCTTACTCTTGGTCCGGGGTATCCAGGAATGCCCTTCTCTCCAACTTCACCAGGAAAACCAAAAAGTCCCTAGAATTACATGATACATCAAAAACGGACTTTTCTGAGATCTAATTTGTCTCACTGTGTCAGCAAGGTTCAGGGAATATTTCATTATGTATTTTGTTTGGTGTGGTGGACAACATTTCTACAATTATATAAAAATGGCAACYCAATACTCACAGGTGGTCCAGGACTTCCAGGGTAACCTTGAATTCCTTTTGGACCTGGATCCCCCTTTGAGAGAGGCAGAAGTAGGTTAACTTGGCAATGGCACTTTTTGTTGCTAGCATCATCTTTAGAAGTGGCTTAATTAGAAATGAGTATTCTTTCATTAATCTTCCATTATTGTTTTTTTAACTTACCTTTTGATTTCCAGAAAAACCACAAACACTATACAAAAACTACCACTCCCAATTTTTGTGGAGAAAGCAAGATCAGCCCTCTCACTTGGCTAGCTACACATGCCACTCATGGGGCAAACAATGCTTTGATTGTACCAGGGTGTTGTCTCAGGAAGAATAAGGCATGTAGATCCAGGATGGCACTGATGTAGTGCTGCACCACCAGGGTCCAACAAATCCCTACCAAAGGAACCTGAAGTCATAACCTCCCCACACTATAAGACCAGTAGTGTCTCTCCACAACATTAACAGGATTAGTCCTCTTCCAATGGCACTGTCAKACACATGATGGTAATCCATGGTTGGTCCAAACGTAAATTCATCACTAAGCATGAAACCACTCCAAGCCCAGCCTATATGGGACGATGAACTCATAACTCATCTGATTCCTGCCATTGAGGCATAGTGGGGGATGACAAGGTATAGGAGGATAAGAGTTTACTACCTGCGTCTGATGGCAGGCACAAATGTCATGTGGTCTTTTCCTATGGGCTCAACTCACCGCAGCTTCAGAGACTTTCCATTAGATGATATCACCCGCTTCCAGCTCAGATTTTAAGACCTAATCAGCCAAGTTCCAAATGAGCCGAGACAAACTGACGATTGATTGACGAGAGCACAAAGTCAATCCTTAGAATGACTACTTCATAAGAAACAAATCCGCCATTTTTAAAACCTCTTAACCACATTGGTATTTATGTTGAAAAGGTTTTGTGTGTGTGTGTGTGTGTGTGTGTGTGTGTGTGTGTGTGTGTGTGTGTGTGTGTGTGTGTGTGTGTGTGTATATAAAGATGGCTATTCAAAATCAATACTATGTTTAGTATTATGAGAAGGTGCAGACATTTCTGTGTTTGTTGGCCGACAACAAAAATCAGAAAGATTTAGACCAAATGGACTTGATCCACCGCCTCGGACCTTTAGAGGAAATGTAGCCTSAGCTTGACCAAGGCATTTTTGAAAAGGTTGGCAGAGGATGGTGAGTGATTAATGACTATTTTAGTTATTTAACCATTGCTGTGTTTTTTTTCCTTTGATAAGGTTTCAGGAGTTTTTTTGGGCAGATGTGTTAGGATGATCCAGCAACTGTTGTGGTCTAGGGCAACTAGGACCATCATGATATGTGAAAATTTGCTTATTGTTAAGACTGACTCTCTCTTTAGCAAAAGTATTGCTCCACTTGTGATGATAACATTGAAGCCCTACAGTACAGTAGATAATACAGCTTCTCTGTAGTTAGATCATTTTCATGCCTGTCATTGGTCTACATGAGCATGTCCAAATAAATCAGTTTCTTCTGTATGCTTAACATTTTTTCAATTAGTGTATTTTTCAGTGTTTAATAGCAGAATGAAGTGGGTACTTGTGAAACTCATGTATAGGTAAGCTGTGCTGTTCAACAAACCTGCATTCCTTTGTCTCCTTTGGGAAAACCCACAAACTCCACAATTCCATCTATCATCGGCTGGCCGGGCTCACCGGGCAAGCCCACATCACCCTGGATGCCGTAGTCGTGAAAGAAAAGACTGTTTATACGCCCTGAATACTAGCAATTGGATCAGTCGATGGCGGCGTGTCGAAAGACGGAACAAAGAAACACTACTTTWGGGACACCTAATGGAAGAGAGTAAGAACTGCGGGCTGGAGGATGGACTTCATGCTGCTGTGCATGAAGCCACTGAGGAAGATGATGAGAGCAGCCTGAGGAGAGGAGCGAGGAAAGTCTGGGGTGATGACAAAGAGGTTGGTTTTTCATCATAAGTACCCCACATAGCACAATTTGTCTGGTCCAGTTCTGGCCCACACAATGCACTAACACTCTAACATTCTGCCCAGATGCTGCAAAATATGGCGTCTCTTTGGTGGCCCAGATGTGGTTTGCTAGAGTTGGTCCATGCATGGGTCAGCATCACAAAAAAACAAACAAAGAAAAAAAACAACAACCCAAAAACAAATGACAACTGGGCCAGTTTTGGCATGCCATTTAAAAAACATGACGTCATTGCCAGACCTGGTCCACATCTGGTTGACAAACCACTTGCCGTGCCAACAGTACCAGCTTGGCACCAGATCTGGCCCACATTGGTCTGCTATGTGGGTACAGAGTTTGATTATTGAATTACTGACTTTAATGAACATTTTGGAATCTCAGGAGACAGATCAATCAATACTTAAATATTTGAAGGTTTGGTAGGCAGCTCATATTTATGTATTTATGCTGATGGACCCAATTACTCTGGTGTTTATGAGAGGGCATGCCTGATATATCAGAGCTATGACAATGCAATTGTTTGTTTTAAATTTTGTATATGATTATGCATTAATATGAGCAATTCAAACATCAATAAAATTACTGAGTGATGTTCATCCAACTGCAGCTCTGACAACTTCAAGGACCTCTCTGCTGACTAGCTATTATAATCATGAGGACAATAACGAGTACAAATTAAGCGAACATTTATTACTTAGCTTAAGAAACAGGATTTAAAAAGCCAAATAGGTTTTTAACAAACCAACCCCTCATTTACTTCTCCCCAAGCCTCCTCCTCCAACTCCTGCAGCTGCCATTTTCTCCTGCATGGCTGTAAAGTTGCTGCAATCACTGCTCCTCTTTCTTTTGTTGTTTCAACCTGAAAAAAACTCCTTGACGCAACACTGAGACTATTTTTCCCGTTTCTTGATATTTAGATCCCACTGCATCTGTGTGATTGTGTTTTGGTGTGTGTGTGTGTGTGTGTGTGTGTGTGTGTGTGTGTGTGTGTGTGTGTGTGTGTGTGTGTGTTGTGAAAGTGTTACACCCTTCCCTTTCCTTACTGGGTTACCTTATCTCCTTTGTAGATAGTGACAGGTTTTTCGAGTCTTAGAGACCCATCACCCGGAGAACCGCTGGGTCCGGGAAGACCCATCTCGCCCTGGAGTTCGAAATACATACAACACACGGTTAGCTAACCAGCAGGAGGGAAGAGCGGAGTGGAGAAAATGTAGAGGAAGGAAAAGAGGATGGAATAAAAACGAGAAGGAGGATGGAGCAACAAATGACAAAAAACCAGAAGCCCCTGTGGCTAAAAATCGAACGACTACAGTTAGGTTGATTTGTTAAATGTAAATTAAACCATAATGAGATTTCCACATAATTTAAATCTACATTAAATTAGGAGTAGTTTAAAGACAACATAATAGATGTGGATTTTTATAAATGCTATTTTCATTTTGTTTACTACATATTTGTTATTATTATTATTATTATTATTTATTATTTCTTCTTTTTTAACACATTGTAAATGTTGGCTTCTCAGGAGTACAGTTGCTGTAATCAAGAGATATCTGGTATCTGAATGGTAGCATTTACAACTTCAAACCCAGTCGGTCGAGGGCCGCCTGTCCTGAGCCTGGTTCTGCTGGAGGTTTCTTCCTGTTAAAAGGGAGTTTTTCCTCTCCACTGTCACCAATGTGCTGCTCAGTTTGGGAGACTGTGATGAAGTGATTCAACACAATCTGCTGGCTTCTTTAGCTGTGTTGTCTTTTGTGTACAATGCCCTGAGATGACGTTTATTGTAACTTGGTGCTATAAGAAATAAAGTGAACTGAATTGAGACACCAGTGTTCATCAACGGATGGCCAATGGGCCATATCTGGCCTGTGGGCTCATTTAAATCAGCCCCCCAAATAATAATTTATTATTTGCCTTTGCACAATTAAATACATGTATCAGAGAGCTTGCTTACAGCAAGTTATCAGTTTCAAATTCTTATGTTCTAGTAGTACTATGTTGTGGCTAATTTACTGTGTATGATGTAAGAATTTGGATTTGAAACCCCCTTGACCATACCTATTTATTGTTGCCAATTTCAACTAAAAGCTGGGGTCTATTTGACTATCTATGAAAAATTTAGACATCTAGAATTTTCATGCTTAGACCAAATTTGAGCCATTTTTTGATTAGAGCTTGTTTAAGTGTTCAATGAGCTAATCCAACCAAAAATTCTAAAATAAGTTATTTTTATTAGTTTAATGTCACATTACTCTCTTTAGCAA